GTTGAGGCCAATCACAGCAATATCCTACTCCCTGGTCCAGCTTCTGTCTTACTCTTATATAGCTGTGATAAGATATCATGGCCAAGATAACTCATAGAAGAAAGAGTTTATTGGGGGCTCACCATTTCAGAAGGGAGTACACGACCTTCATGGTGGGGAGCACAGCAGCAGGCAGGTAGACATGGTGCTGGAGCACTATCTGGGAGCTTACATCTTGAGGCACAAACACAAGCCAGAGTGGTGGGGGAGAAAGTCAACTGGAAGAGGTGTGGGCTTTGAAACTTCAAAGCCTTCCCCCAGTGACACACCTCTTCCAACAAGGTCATACCTCCAAATCCTTCCTCAACAGTTCTACCAGCTGGGAACCAAGCATTCAAATGTAGGAGCCTCTGGGGATCATTCTCTTTCAAACCACCACACAGGGTCTCACTATATAGCTGGGACTAGTTTGAAACTCTCAGTGTAGAGCAGGTTGTTCTTGAACTCATAAAGATCTGCCAGCTTCTACTTCCTTGTGCTGAGGGTAAAGGCATACGCCGCTATGACCAGCTAAATTTTCATTTTAGAAATAATTTTCTTTATATGTATATATATGTGTTGTGTGTGTGCACAATGTGTATCCTGGGGACTGTGGAGGCCAGAAAAGGGCAACGGATACCCTTCAGCTGTCATTACAGTTAGTTGTGAGCTGCCCTACATGAATGCAGGAAACTGAACTTGGGTCATTTGGGAGAACAGCCAGTGCTCTTCGCTCCTCTTGAGTGATCTCTTCATCCTCTCAACCTTTTATTGAATCAAGAAATTATACATGTTTCTGGGAAAATGCTTAAACATCAATCCATGTACATGCATCATTAGGTGTATTCTTATGATTTTTTTCCCTTTGCGATATTGTGTGGCTATGATGCCAAGCTGATAGAAAACCCTAGGATACATACAGACTTCTGTATGTATACAGAAGGGGAGGGGAAGAGAACATGAGGGTTCAGGAAATTGAGTTGGGGGAAGAATAGAGGAGAGCAAGGAAAGAGATAACTTGATAGAGGGAGCCATTATGGGATTAACAAGAAACCTGGCAATAGGGAAATTCCCAGGGACCCACAAGGATGACCCCTACTAAGTATCTAAGCAATAGTGGAGAGGCTACCTTAAATGCCCTTCCCCTATAATGAGATTGATGACTACCTTCAATGCCATCACAGAGCCTTCATCCAGTAGCTGATGGAAGCAGAAGCAGAGATCCACAGCCAAGCACTGAGCCGAACTCTTGGAATCCAGTTGTAGAAAGGGAGAAGTGATAAGTAAAAGTGTCATGACCAGACTGAGGAAACCCATACAAACAGCTGACCTGAGCAAATAGGAGCTCAGGGATCCCAGTCTGACATCTGAGGAACCAGCATAGGACTGAACCAGGCGCCCTGAACATGGGTGTCAGTTGGGAGTCCTGGGCAGTCTATGGGACTGCTGGCAGTGGAACCAGAATTTATCCCTAGTGCATGAGTTTGGGAGCCTATTCCCTATGAGGGGATACTCTCTCAGTCTAGATGCATGGGGAGTGTCTAGGCCCTGCCCCAAATGATGTGACAGACTTTGATGATCCCCCATGGGAGCCCTCACCCTCCCTGAGGAGTGGATGGGGTGGGGTGGGGAGATGATAGGGGGAATGGGAGGACAGGAGGGAAAGGGAACTGGGATATGTAAAAAAAGATTGGTTTTTAATTTAAATAAAAAATAAGCCAGAAAAAAACCACAAAGAGATTATGCAGTGAAAGTTTTATTAGTGGTTCTAAGGTCCATGGACCATTTCCTTGGCTGAAGGAGTCTTAGTCATTCTGAGTAGGGCATTCCTGACAGAAATGGAAGTCTAGAAAGTTTTAGATGCCAACAGAGGCATATATTATTAGAGAAACCTTCCTAATGGACGCACTTAAGGAGCAAAATAAACTCTAATCACATGCACACTGTGCATTGTATTCATAAGAATATCCATAGAAAACAAGCTTTTGGGTCTTTGGGGAGATAGCACATATAGGAATATGTTCACATTTAATAATTTTCTTAATAAATAATTTAAATGTTATGAATTTATTGTACAGAGATCCCAGGTTAGACTGATTAAGGAGGACTGTGGAGAAGGATTTGAAATGGTAAGCTTTTGTTTTTTAGGTGAACAATTGCACAGTAGAGGGTGGAATTATAGTCTAGACACAGGGAAAGCCCACATAGCCATAGAAATGTACATCTCAACAGGTCAGCAGGCCCTGGATAGCCAGTGCTATGAAGGGATACGATGACACGTTAGGCGGGCGTACACCCCCTTTGTGATGTACTTCTGCCCCGGAACCCTGGGAACCCCTCCACTCCATTCTTACCTCACTGGCCCCACTCACTTTCCTGAGACATCCTTAGAGACAGACAGTTCTAGAGGGCTGCTTTTCTTTCTAGGGTCAGCTGAATCAAGGCACTTGGTCTCTTTCTGGAGAAAGACTTCCTCATCCCTTCGTGTCTAAGGTAAGTTCTTTCTGAGGGATACCCCAATAATTTAAACCTGAGCAGATAGAAAAGTTAGGAGCCTGTGTAGATCAACCAAGTACTTGTGTCTTTCTTGTGTCTTCAGCTATCTTCAATACTTAGTACTGTGCTGTGAGCTAAACCCTTACCAGGCAATTCCTTAAGAATCCTAGAAACTATAACCATGTGAGAGACTCATGTGCCACTGTTTCTGAGGGAAGCCTCTTAGCTTCACAAACTATATGCCTGGGATTTCCTCCATCCTTAGTGATATCAAATAGTCTCTGTTAGAGGGGCTACTTCCCAACTTCTCCTTGAATAAAGCTGCCATCTTCATGGTCCCATAGATACCTCAATGTCCACTCCCTACAACTTTTCTGATGACTTCAGTTTAAGGACCCCTGTACATTGGGACACCAAATTCACTCTGTCTGACAGTTGGTCCTGTAGATGTGGTGATTCCAGCTCTTTTATCTCAGCAGGAATTCCTAAATTAGCCTAGTAGTTCACACTCTACTTACCAGATCCACCCCTTTTGGCACAGCAGAGTCATATATCCCTTTCCTTGACCTCTGAAAACCATTACCCGGGGAGACCATTAAATATGTGGCAACCTCCTCACCAACTTTACCTCAGAATACACCACAACATATCTGCACATGTTACAGGATACTGTACCAAAGCCATCCATCTAAATTACTTAATAGGATGATACAGAGAATTATTTGAGCCCAGAGTTTCTCTGTCAGCTTAGCATCATATCCATACTATGTCTTAAGGGGGAAAAATCAAGAATTGGTAATGATGTAGACACATGGATTTAAATTCCAGAAATGTGTCTTTTGTTTAAAAATTTATTGTCTGTTAATTTTTTAAATAAAAGTTAAAGCATTTATTTACGGATGAAGGAAAGAATTCTGGGTAGAGAGGAGAGCAAGTGACTGAAATTGAAAAATAGAACAATAAATATCTAAGGTTGTCTTCCACATGATAAGTCTACATCTAATGATATGTACCTAATAGCCTCGAGGCCAGGAAGGAATTGATGGTGGGAAGTTAAGGAACTACCAAAGCTGGAAGGAGCTGCAGGAAAGGAGCATGGAAGGTGAAATGTAAGAAAAGAATAATGGTATACATGAATGAGTAGTAGGTCAGGATGAAAGCCATCTTTTGAAATCCAGCCACAAAAGCCAATACAAAATAAAAACATTTACAAAGGAAAATAACTTAATGAAGAGACAGCATTCTTATTTTGTTAGGTGCCAGTTGCCAAGCCTAAATTTTATAGTCAGGATCCACATGGTAGAAAGGGAGAATAGACTCCTGTAAGATGCTCTCTGACCATCACAGACATATGATGACACGTGAATGCATGGGTACACATACTAATACGCCTCAAAAAGTAATATTAAAACATATTTTGAAGTCCATTTGCTGCTTATCTAACATAGACATGCTAGTTTTTACACTGCTCTTTTTTTATGAGACCAAGTCTCTTATATGTAGTACAGGAAGGCCTTGAACTCTCCCCATCTTCCTGTCTCATTACCCTAAGTGCTAGGAACACAGTGTTCACCACCAAGCCTAGCTTCCTAAGAGAATTTGTTCTGAGTTTTGTTCACAATTTATTTTAATTGATATACAATAATGCACATGCAATTAAAATACAGTATGGTGATTCAAGATACGCATGGGTGTGCTTATCAAATATGAGTAATTCATATGTATCCGTACTTATGTATTTATCACTTCTACATTAGTGAAGTTTTATAACCTCTCCTACTATTTTCTGGAAAAACTGGGAAATTAATGCAAGGGCCTATTACATGGTAGGTAGGAGTCCTGTGGGATTTAATTATGTATTGCCCAGTCTGGCCTTGATTTCACTTTGTAGCTCAGGCAGGCATTGAACATAGGACCCTTCTACCTCAACCTTCCAACTACCTTGTTCGATAGGCATAGGAAGGAAACTTTGGCTGCTCTTTTCCTTCCTTACAAATTGATCATATAGAGATATAAACTAGTCACGAAAGTGTACTGCAAAACACCAGTAGGTATCTTCGTCGCTGCATGTTTTGGGCTTGTTGTACTTTCTTCTGAAGGCCCCACCACCCGTCTCCCACTGGCAACCGCTTTAGCTTCTATGAAATCAGTTTCACTTTCTTCATACAGGTGAGAACATGGGACTGTGCTTGCTCAATTCAATATCTTTCTCTTTTCTCTTAATCTCAGGGAACACTGCAGGGCAACTAATCAGGACAGAAGCTTGACCCATTCTCAGAGACTAACTTCATCCATGCTCATAGAATCCAACTAACTCCTAACCACTAATTCTCCCATAGATCTAATCAGGGGTAAGCGATGTCAGGATGAAAAGGAGCACAAGGAAATTTCACGTACTGAGTGTTACTTTCCTCCTTCCTTCTCAGGACATTTTGTGTTGGAAGAAAATCAGATAGGGTCTTCAGAATATCTCTGATCCCGCCAACATGAAAGCAGAGTGTTGCCATGGAGAGAGACCTGCGGAAGAGACTAATGAACCAAAGAAAGTATTTCAGGTATGGTGACCAGGCAAGGTGTGGACAGAAGCAACTGAGTGACCAAGGGCCACTGTAGAGAGATTTCTCAGAGGGTAGAAAGTAGGGACATTCAGGACAAGGACCAAAGTCTCCACAGGACCTCCATAAGTCTCAGAATGTGTTTCTACACACACACATGCTCATCATGTTCTTCTACAGAATCCTTGAGGATTTCAGGTTGGTGATCTAGTACTAAATGCATTTGATGACACAGCCCCTTGTAAGTATGTGTGGGGAGAAAGAAGAAATAAGCAGCACTGAGCATTTCCAGTGTAATTCACATGTCTCACCTGGCCCTCACATTCCCCAGGATCAATTATCTTGATTTTCTAGGTGGACCACCGAGTTCCCCCGACACAGATGGCATTCTGGGATGAATGGCACATATGTCCAGCAGAATAATTGTCAGAATTTCCATTTCCTTCTTTTCTAGCCCTTCCAGGATATTTGTACATATTTTTCGGAGGAAGAGTGGGCAAAGCTGACAAACTGGCAGAAAAGTGTCTACATGTATATGAAGAGAAACTACATCAGAATGACTGGCTTAGGTAACAGGAAGTTCTGGGTTCAGACAAGCCTGGGTGTCTCCCAGTTATTTTCTATGCCACGGTTTCTCATCAGCACGTAGCAGGTCCCTCTCCTGCACCATACTTCTCATTGTGGAGAAATGTTAAGGTGCTACCTGAGCATGCTGCTCTCTCCCATTTTGTTCAGGGTTGAGAGCACAGACCACAGACACTAGAGCTCAGGCCTGCAGCCCACACTTTTCTTTCCTGTAGTCTCTTGTTCTTGTGGGCCTTAAGGTCTGTGCTGCATCCCAGATTCTAGCTGCATTGCCCCTCTTGTCCTGTCTGTTAAAGAACAAGCCCTTGGCCTGTTGGAGCCCACTCCCTATGGTGGGATGCTATGCTCAGTCTTAATGCATGGGAGAGGGACCTGGCCCTGCCCCAACCTATTGTGCCAGACTATGTGGACTCCTCATGGGAGCCCTTGCCCATGAGGAGGAGTGAACTGGGGGTGGGATAGAGGGGAGGTGATGGGGGTGGGGTGGGAAGAGGTGAGAGGGTGGGAGGAGGGTGAGAGGGAGAACTATGGTTGGAATGTAAAAAAAAATTAAAAAATGGAAAATAAAACAAGTACTTTGCGTCTTCTTAGGGGTCAAAGTCAACCAACCAGTTTTCATGCGTTGCAAGGAACAGGTGGAAGCGAACGGTAAAGGTGAGTGGTCAGGGAGGGGATGTGAAGATGGCCTTTCCAGGCAAGATGCCTGGTAAGGTCACAGGCATGTCTTTTCTTCTTCAGGTTAGGGCTGTGTGGAAAAGAGTTCATTCAGAGGATTATGCAGAAGACTCTGTCATATCAAAGTCTAAAACATCAAAGAGAATGTGCATTATTTTGGATAATAAGTAAATGGCAAATGTGTAACATCTTCAGTTGAAATGTCTTGTACCACATCCTAAACATAGGCAGACAAGTCCCCCTACACACACACATGCAGACACTGTCACAGAGATCACACACACACACACACACACACACACACACACACACACCACCCACACACACACAGAGTGACTCCCCAGGAAAGCAAGTCAGACTGCAAAAGCTCCCACAAGCACTTTACTTGATCGCAAACTCTAGGCCTGTAATTTCTGCCCAGTTTTTGAGAGCAAACGAGAATTATTACACTAGATAGCCCCCCCAAAACACTGAACTGAAACCCTTATCCTTCCTCATGCAGTTAATACCTGAATATTCAAATCATTTCATCTGTTAGGTTTTCTGTTATTCCACACCTGAAGGTACAGACAAGTCAAAATTTCCTGAAACCAATTTAATATTATGAGGTAAAGGAAATGTACTCGGATAGGATGAGGCAGTGATGAGGCTGAAGGAACATTTCATAAACAATCATAAGGAGACTTATACAGTGATAATATGGATAATGCCTATGTCATTAGTAAAGTCAAAGACAGTCATGCCCCATCAGCTCCTGCTTCATGAGTGGGCTGTAACTCTCCACTCCAGCATTCCCTAAATTGGCAGGATTCTGAAGTTTGGAAATATTTACTAACAAACAAAACCTTCTGACTTGTCACTTTCCATAGAGAAAGATTCTGAAGATGATTTTTACACACAACAGATAAAACGCATAAAGGTGAGTGTCACCTGTTTCTGTATGAATGCACCATGTTTGTCCTTCAGTTCATGCCCATGTTGTGGAGAATAGGTTTCTTTTTGGCGGTGGATAAGTGTGTAAAATATATTTGATACTTAAAGTGTAAATTTTAATGTAAAGCACCATATGTTGCAAATGCCAATTCTAACTGTATGGAAGTTCATTAGGTTGTCTACACTTTGGGTCTTGTTAATTTGGTATGTGATGTTCTTATTTATTTTGTAGCTGACAAGAGTGACAGTAGATCTTTGTGATATACGTGGAAAACTTGGTGGCAGAGATTCTATTTCAGCTTCTTCCATTATGCCAGGTTGGATGTAATCTAATTCCTGTTCCTTAACATAATTTCTTAATTCTTTTTCAATATGGTATTTTTTAAAAATTCTTTGAGGATTTCATAAAATATACTTTGATCATATTCACACATACCCTACTCTCTCATCTCATGAACATAAAACATCTTTACTAGAAGTGTTTCTCACTTTCCCACACTCCTCAATTTCATGTTTTTGGTTTTTATAATCAACCAAGCCTAATTTGTGCTGTCTGTATACTGTGTGATGTGGAATCATCCACTAGAGTATGGTTGGCCTAACAACCACGCTCTTAAAGAAAACTGACTCTCCCTCCCACAAAAGCCGTCTATCATCAACAGCTACTCACAAAGGGGTGGGAGTTTAAGAGTCCCTACTCACTCCATGCTAGAATGCTGGCAGGCTCAATCCTATGCAGGTCTTATGTGGGCAAAGACACCTCCTGTGACTTCATGAGTGTAACAATCCTGTCATGTCCATAAAACACTATATTGCTCTGGTCCTCCCTGTCTTCTGCTTCTTATAAGTTTTCTCCTCTTCTGCAATGGTTCTTGAGCTTGGGAGGAAGGTGCATGACATATATGTTCAATGTTTAGCTGAGCAATCCATAGACACTTATTTTCTGCAGTCTAACCAGTTGGGAGTGTCTGTATTAGCCACTACTCACTGAACAACAGCACTTCTCTGTTAACGTCTGAGAGCTATCTATGGGTAGAGAGACAGGAATTTAGACGTCAGTTTCTACTACATTCATTTAGCAAAATCATAGAAATGGGTTTTCACTATGGGGTCTGTGCAACCATAGGTTCTTGTCAGATTTACAGTACCAGGCCAGCATTTCTTCAGTCACAGCATTCTAATAACTAGAGGAATGATAATGGGGCTCAGCACAACTGTGCTAAATGTGACATGAGCAGCACTTCACTAGCTCTCTAGTCCATAGCCCAGACCACTGAAACGCACTCATGTCTTCTTTCTTTTCTGAAATCCAGAGTCTGTTCATTCTTTCATCCTGACGCTTTCCAAGCAGGAATCACTAGCTGGCTTCTGCTCTATAAATGGACCATGCACTTTGCTGCTGGAAATTACAGGCCTTTCACTGTGGACTCCTCCCACTGTGATCTACCTTAGAGAAACCCACAGAGACACCTGACTATGAAATGGGAGTTTCTACAGTTGCAGGTTCCAGTCTAGTATAGAGAGTTAAGGGAGCTGAGAGTTAGCAGCCAGTGAGGACAGTTAAAGATTCAATGAAAAGAAGGGGTTATAAGATCACATATTCAGTTTTACTATTATATCATTTAAACATTCCATTTGGGTGTGTTTGGCATGCCTATAATTGCAAAGCTCTGTAGGGTCATTAGACCAACACTTTTCTAGGGTACATGAAGAGATCTTGTCTCAAAACCAAAACCAAATGAAAAAAAAAACAAAAGAAATAAAGAGGGGGTATGGAGAGATTGCTCAGTGGTTAAGGGTATCTGCTGCAGCTCCTGAGGACTAGAGTTCAGTTCCTAGCACCTACATTGGGTGGCTCACTATTATCTGTCACTCCAGTTCCAGAGGATCTCACGCAGTACTCTTGCCTCTCCAGACACACACACCCACACATGTGTCACATATATACAGAGACATGCACACATACACATAAATAAAAATGTAAAATAAAGGACAGTAAGTTGTGTTTCCAAGCTCAGAAACAATGTTCTTTCAGTTATACACAGACTCTCTCATGCATGAATCAGGAAGTTGAATGAAAGGCAGCTTATGATGAGTGACCAATGACACATCTTGATATCAGCAGAAATGGTGCAGGTGCTACCTTATCTAACTTCACATGAAGTGTTCTCACCAATGTCCTGTGTAGTAACACACTTGGCAACACATTCTTTGATACCTTGATCAACACGTCTCCTTTCTGTTTTTCTCCATTGCCTGCATTTGTCTGCACACACTATCATGGTACAGTATTGTCTCCTTCCTTCTATTCACTCTTTTAATTATTGTCCATGTAGTGAAGTACAAGCTTATGTGTGAAGCCTTATATTTCATAGACTGTCTGCCTTTCACAGAACCCATGAATTCCTCCAGTGCTTTTCTTCCCCAAATCATCTTTATTCCACACTTAAACGCACATCTCTTTTGCTTGCATAAATGACAGTCTATGAAGAATATAAAAGCAAACATTCAGTCTCAGAAACATGATATACTAAGGACCTTCCTTTCCCATTTAAGCTCCTGTGTTCTTTTTCACTTAGCTACAAAAAATGAAATACTTCATTAGGCACAATTAGCATGTTATGAAAATCCATAAAAAACACTTGCAAAAGACTGAGCCCTTCAACATTCTGTCACGGAAAGAGGGGTTCACCAGGTTCTGCTCCTCTCGGAGGATATGAAGGCAGTTAACAGTTTCCAAGGGACAAGACCAATGAGGCCCAAAGCACATGTATGTGAGTCTAATTAAACTCATTGAGCCCCATCAATACCAACCACTACGAAATAAAAGGGAATCTAGCAGTGGGGAGGAAGGGCATTGGCATGAGTCAAAAGAGGTTAATGAGGAGGATACATGATCAAAACACATTATATATGCATATCAAAATATCATATTGAAAGTAATAGCATATATAATTAATATATGCTAATATAACCTTTAGGAAAAATGAGATGATGCTTAACCTCTAAGATAATATAGAAATGCTACTGACAGCCTGAACAAGTGCTTTAGTGTTTAAAAAATGCTGAAGAAGGCAGCATGGGAAGAAAAGAACCCAAAATGAGTTCCAGGTGCACTAGGCTCTGGAAGGTTCCAGAGACACCTGCACACCTACGAGAAAGCACATGTTTTGTGAACAGAGAGTAGAGTGACGTTAGATGAGAGGAAATCATGGAAGAAACAATATTCTGGTTTTCCTGGCATGTTCTGGGTGTGTGGCATGGGTCCTGAAATATCCCAGGCTTTTCTGGGTGAGGAGGTCATCCAGCACCAGTTCAGATGTTCAGATGTTAGAATGGGTCTCCATAATCATAATTCGACTTGTCCTTCTGAAAGCCATGCGACACTGGACAAGTCTTCTACATACTCTGGGGTTCACGTCTTAAATCCATATAAGAGAATGATCACAGGGTCCTCCTTCCAATGAAGATAAAATGGGACATCTATACCACATGATGGAGGAGGGGACCAAACAGTACACTGGATGATATAACCTGAAGTGGCCTTTGGTCTGTACTGCTGTATAGCTAACATCTCAGTCTTTGTGAGTCAGCAGATATAAAAAAACAGGCAATGGAGAAGGCCTATGGGCTCATGGGAGGAACAAGCCCTGTTCTTTTCTGACAAAACAAGGCCCTAAACTATCTAGCTCTCATGCACTAATCCCTTCCTATTTCAGGAGTCAGTACCGTTCGGGTAAATGCCTGGAGCCATCGGTTGCGGGAAAGGAAGACTCGAGTGATATATGAAGAGATCAGTGACCCCGAAGAAGATGATGATGGTGATGATGACGATGACAACAATGATGATGATGATTATTATTGAATATGTAAGTGGTCCTTTGACACATCTTCCAAACCCAGAATACACACTTTTCTCGTATGGTATTGGATCAATCATCTACTTGTAGTCCTTTGGGGTGCAACACTGAAGCTGAAGTAATATGTTATGTTTCCTTTACTGTAAAGCTGGGTTATTTGGAGACCTTCCCTACCCAGGATGCTGTGGGTTCCCCAATCCCAGGTCAGCTTTCAAAGCACAGGCCATATCTTCCTTTGACTTAGGAATTCATGTAGGCTTTGAAGGACAGGAGGAAAAGACCAGTGAGTAGGCAGTGTGAACTCACTAGCATTTCTTTTCTTTCTTGTCTCAACCACAGAGAGTCAAAATAAGCCCAGGATGAGAAGAATGTGGTGGAAATTCAGTATCAGAGCCATAACTCCAAAAGCCTAACTATAAGTTATATGTAGAGATATACATATATTTACTTATTCCATGTTTACTTAATAAAATTTATTGTAGTTCTAAGAGCCAGGCATCAGTTTTCATATTATTTGTCAAGTGTTCTCTTAGCAATTTTGTAGGATGTGTCAAGCACCCTGTCAGAACTTTGTCCCAAGCCTTCCCTATGTATTATTGTCACTGTGTCAAGTCTCATTAGAATTGTTTTTCCTCTGACATGCCATCTTTTTAAAATTTTAATAAATATATTTATAGCCCCTCCACCCCACCCCTAGCCCAATCCTCACATCATTCCCCGGGAAGGGTAAGGCCCTCCTTGGGGGATCTCCAGAGTCTGTCATTTCATCCAGGGCAGGACCTACGCCCTCCCCATGTGTCCAGGCTGAGAGAGCATCCCTCCATGTAGAATGGGACCCCAAAGTTAATTTGTATGCTGACAGGCCATCTTTAAGCATATATTTTGCTTTATGACATCTGGTTAGCACTGGGGATACTACATGCTAAGCACTCTGTTAGTATTATTCTTACTGTGTAAAAACCACTCTGGTACAATACCAATGTTTCAAGCAGGCCAGATGGCTCAGTGGTAAAGGATCCTGCTGCCAAGCCTGACTACCTGAGTTCAATCTTAAAGACCCACATGGCAGACAGAGAGAACTGACATTCACAACTGAACACACACACACAGAGTAAATAAATGCAAATATAATAAAAGAAATCTATCAATATTTCATTCAGTGAGGCATATTGCTATTGCATACTGCTGTTTGTCTGCCCTGTACCTGTCTTAGGAACCATGGACATCCTCTGCACTGAAGAACACTGCCCTTTCCTTACTCAGGACTACTGAGCAGAGTTCATTTGCTTATTTATTTATTTATTTATTTATTTATTTATTTATTTTTGGTTTTTCTAGACAGGGTTTCTCTGTATTGTTTTGGAGGCTGTCCTGGAACTCCCTCTGTAGACCAGGCTGACTTCGAACTCACAGAGATCCACCTGTCTTTGCCTCCTGAGTGCTGGGATTAATGGCGAGGGCCACCAACGCCCGGCTCATTTGCTTATTTTAATGTGTTTCTTTGTATTTGTACACACATATTCAGGTCATCACCATGATCATCTGTCACTTGCCATGTTCCACTAGAAATGTGTATAGTCATGGCCATCTTATTCATTTTTCTGGTCAGTGCATACTTCCTCCCCTGTCTGCACACAGGTGACAAATTCAAATTCTGTGGTATAGGAGAATCTGGATTTTCTTGAGAACACATGTGACCTTCATTTATGCAAGAGACTGAGGCTCAGTGTAGATCAATGCTCTAATCTTACCTTTTTTAGAAGTAAGTGGTAATATCTGGTTCTAGAGATTGAACCCAGGTCCTCATGCATGCAAGGCAAGTGCTCTACCACTGAGCTACACTGGACTAGTAGTTACTGCTCCATTGCTGACAAAATGCCTGAGAAAAATAAAGGAAAGAAGGAAGGTTACTTTGGGTTTATAGTTTCAGTGGATTCAGTTGGTGGATGCTATCCCCATACACGAAGCATGCAGGAGAGGCTGTTCCTCCCTTATGACTGACTAGCATACCCAACAGGACCAGAGGTCAAGGTGTCACTTTAGAAAAACATAAGACACACTGACAGAGATTCGGGACTTCATATGAACACGAAGAGATGATGAAGTAGTTATTTAGCAGAAATCAAAGGAAGGTGGCCCAATTGGTGTGGGACTAGAGGCTGAAGCATTAATGGATGCTAAGTACAAATTCAGGCCTGAATGGCATCAAAGGCAGAAGCTTTCAGAGAATAACAGATTTAAGGCTCACATCTGAGGAACAGATGGTATAAATGACACTTAGGGCTCTGGACCAATGTAGACAAGGGACACATAAACTGTATGTGCTGCAGTCAGGTCTAGACTTCATTAATATTACATGGCAGATGCTATGAGGTGAGTTGTGCCATACACCCGTCTCACACACCATTAATATGTAGAAGCCGTAATGCCCAATGTAGCTCTCCTAGGGGTGCTAGAGTTAATGTGGGTTCCTACGGCTATGACTCTGATGAATAGAACTGGTGGCCTTATGGAAAGGTAAGAGACAAGAGATTTCTGCGTTAGCACTATGTGAGGATTCAGAGAGGAGTCAGAGGTACTGATAAATGATCATGTTCAACAAAAAAAGCCAAGTGCAGAAAGACAGATGTTCAATTTTAATTTTAATGAGTAACCACATTTTAATTTGTATTCTTGTGTAATTTTGTATGTAGGACATGACACTAGAAAGGGTACCAAAAGATGGGAACCTGAGTCCTTAAAGTAGTACAAAGGATGACTCTTTATACAGGGGACATGACAGTAACAGGGACAACTGGGGAGAAAGAAGGGGACTAGCAAGATGAGGACAGATGGTGGGACAAGGTGATTGGAACTTTGATTAAAAACCAAGAACATGGGGGATATGTCACTATGAATCCCATTACTTTGTATGCTACCTTAGAAACATTAAGAAAACAGAGTCCTGAAGATGAAATGAAAAGAGAACACAGTCTATTTTCTCTGGTGGAGAAAAAAGTCTTATATTTAGGGAAAACTGGGATCCATGAAAACGGAAGTTGGAAACTGACCATTCTCATCACTCTCTAGAAGTGCCCTTACCCTGTTATCTGTCTCACTAACACCCACTGTATGGCCATCAGAACAATCACATATGTCAAGTAGAAAGTGAAGGCTACTTCCAGGGCAAATGTTAATAGTAGCAGATGGATGCCTTCTAGCTGCAGTAGCATGCTCAGAGGGCTGTGGGATGGACCTGGTGTTCTAGGTTTCTGAAAATATGGCCTAAACCATTTTGTAGTACAGGAATGGAGAATGGAAGAATAATACCCATGGCTTAAATGATTTATGGATATTTAAGTATTCCTTATATGCACCTATAGGGATTAGAATGTATATGATTTGCCTTGAACATATTAGGCACCCCCCAAAAAGTAATTATTTATGAAAGTACCAAATACACAATGAATACAACTTAAATGATCTCAATGCTAATGGAGATATTTGGAAGTTCTGTATTCAAGTTATTCAGAATTCAATCTGTACTTGCATCTGAATTTTTCTCCCTGGAGGATACTCAGCAGGTACATAGCACTGGAAATGACACTGAATCTGGGTGTGAATACCAGTGCTTCATAGGTGGGCTGGCATGGGCTACTCTTGAAAGCACCAACTTCACCCAGTCTCTTTATTAAGTCACTTCTACCAGAGCTTTAGGCCCCAATGCTGAGCCATCTTCTACAGTTTATGGCTCCAGGTACTGGAGAAACTGTTGGTACAAGGAAATGGAAAGCACAGTTACCGCATGCTGTGTTGTTTTAATTGTAGATTCTGGTAAACTGGGACCTTCATTGAGCTCATCTTTGCTACCCTTCAGAGGCTCTGCCCAGATGCTCTTCACCTCCACTCTTATTCATAGTGTGTCTGGAGCAGCCCTTTTCCCCAGAAACTCTTCCTAGAGTAGAAGATCTGGTTCCAAGTCACCACTTTTACCCAGTGTAATAGGCAAAATTTTAGGGAGAAATCTGTAGTTGAACAATGCCAAGTTTGTTGTCTCTTGGAATGAAAGAAACTGAACATAATGAATATGATGGAATGTTTCAAGAAACAAAGGAAAAGATAGAGACATATTACATGATTTGTTAAAAGGTGAAATTTAAATGTTCCCTGTTTTGCTACCTCAGCCCACATAGTTCAGATTGCATAAATCTATATATTGACAGAGTATGTCTGTGGATGTACCTACTTCCACAGCAGAATTTCTGAAGCTCTGGATTATGGCTGGTGTGACCTGGATAATTTTTGAGCTATTTGTACATTTTAGCAGGTTTAGCAGCATTCCTGAGCACTGTCCATCCCAATTGTAGCAAGAAGGTTCAAATGTCAAGAGGAGATGTGGTAGTAGTCAACATTAGGACAGGCATCAAAACTCTATTAATTCATTGATAATAACAAATAATCAAGAAAAGCTCCTGTGGATGGCTTCTGTGTTCACTTTTGTGTATTTTAGCACATTGAAATGTCAAATTTGGGTATAAGGTCAAATTTCTTTCTAAGTACTTATATGCTTATGCGGGCAAGTTAATGCACTGTCAGGCTGTCCAGAGAAGTTTCTGGTAGCAGTTACTCCAGAGATTCTTAACTGGCCAAAGTGTTGAGAACATGCGATTGTTGAGTCCACAGTCTTAAATGAGACATGTATATCATCCCCTCCATGGGCCAGGGGACACTATGGAAGAAAGTAAAGAAAGAATGTAAGAGGTAGAAGAAAGGGTGGAGTTGTGTGGACTTTAGTCTCTAGGATATGACATAGCCTGAAGTCTTCAGCAGCTGCTGAAGACTGGGCCTCAATCATTCTGTCACCAAAAGTGTAGAAAGCTCATGAGCCTCTCTCCCATTCCTCAGGGTTGGTAGAAAATTCCAGTTGCTAGGGGGAGGGACTTGTGAAATTTCACCGCTCCCTAAGGATCTATAGGTAATTAATGATTTCAGAGGGTGAGAGAAATTGGCTTTAGTGGTATAGCCATTAGTAAGATTCCCACGACTTTCAACTCCTAGCACCTGCCACTATAGGAAACAAATGAAATACATGTGTTGATCAAGAGTCCTGAAGGTAGAAGAGAAAGTACCTGGGGATTGGATGATTTCTACCTGGGTACTGGGATCAGGAGTAGTGGGAGAGAGAAAAAACAGGGTACTTGGAGACGATGGTGATAAAAATACATGGATGGTAACAATCTGTTAGATAACCCCTCTACACATGCTCCCCTACATAACCTTAATTGAAGTTACAGGTTGATAAAAACAGACAAAAAAACCTCCATGAAAATAGAAGGAAGAGTGGAAGAGTAGTTGAGTAAAATACTGATATCAGGAGGAGTGGGAGGAGGACACAACTTGGTGATAGGACATAGTCACCATCAAAGCATATTATATGCATGTGTTACTGTCACAATGACAATATGTTAAAACAACAGCAACTTACCTCCTTCAAGAATCCTGGGCTTGTGACTCACTGTCTTAGCATGGGTCAGGTCCTGGGACACATTACTAGAACTGCAAAAAATAACAGTAAAGTAAAAAATGATATGATCAGTGGATGGATTAGTGGCGTCAACACCCCAATAAAAAGTCTCAGACCAACAAACTGGATTAGAAAACAGGATTCATCTTTTTTGATATCTCCAAGAACTGCATCTCACTAACAATGATAAACACTACCTTAGGATAAAAGGATGGAAAATGGTATTCAAATTAAACGCGACTAATAATAAGCAAGTATAGTTCTTCTAATATCTAAAAAAACAGACTTCAAACCAAAACTAATCAGAAGGTATAAGGAGGGACACTTCATACTAATTAAAGGAAAATCCAATAGCAGTATTACCTTAGTCAGTATTCTATTGTTGTGAAGAGACATCATGACCATGGTAACTCATAAAAGAAAGCATTTAATTGAACCTGGCTTACAGTTTCAGAGGTTTAGTCTATTATCAACATGATGGTGAGCATGGCATCATACAGGCAGGTATGGCAGCTGAGAGTTCTGGATCTGAAGAGAACAGGAAGAGAGAGCCCACCCTCAGTGACATACTTCCTCCAACAAGGCCATGCTTCCTAATCCTTTCAAGTAGTACCAGTCCCTGGTGACTGAACATTGAAGTATATGAGCCTATGGGGCCATTCTTTTTTCTATTTATTTTTTATTTAAATTAGGAACAAGCTTGTTTTACATGTCAATCCCAGTTCCTTCTCCCTTCCCTCCTCCCCTGTCCCCCTACAGACCCCCCCCATGCCATCCTCTTTTTGCTCCCCAGGGAGGGTAAGGACTTCCATGGGGGATCTTCAAAGTCTGTCGTACCATTTGGCCCCTATGGCCCCTATGGCCACTATGGCCCCTGTGGTCTCCCCTATGGGGCCATTGTTATTCAAACCACCGCATTCCACTTTCTGGCCCTCATAGGCAAATCGCATTTAGTCCATCTTCTAAAGTCCCCATAGTCTATCACAGTCTCAACACTGCTTAAAACTCTAAAGTTCAAAGTCTCCTCTGAGACTCAAGGCAATCTCTTAAGTATAACCCCTATAAAATCAAAATCCATAGGAAAAACATATAGGAAATGTGGGGTACCATCAAAAGACCAAATCTTTAAATTATAGGAGTAGATAAGGGAGAAGAAGCCCAGGCCAATGGCATACATAAATCAGATCTCCAACAAGATCATAAAATAAAACTTCCAAATAGAAGCTCACAGAACACCAAATAGACAAGACCAGAAAATAAAATCCCCACAGCATATGATAGGACAAAGAAAGTGTATTGAATGCTGCAAGAGAAAAATACCAAGTCACAAATAAAGGAAAACCTATCAGAATATCCAGAACATCCTGGAACAATGCACCCAAGTGCTAAAGAGCCACAATGACCAAGCTAGACTAATTTGCCCAGTGAAAGTATCTGCCATAGTTGAAAGAGAAAGAAAACATTTCGTGACATAAACATTCAAAAAATGTATATGTAATAACTAAAACCTAAAGAAAAGGAAGCAGTATTTCAGGCTGAAGAGAGAAATGAGCATACAGGCTGTAGAAAGAAATACAATGCCATAATCACCAAAACCCATATCACTGCTGAGAACACAATGCCACCAAAAACAACAACACAATGACTACAGTCAGCACAGACTTTTAAACATTAACTTTAAATAGCAATAGCCTCAAATCTCCAATTAAAAGACAGACTGGCTTCATGGATCAAGAAACAAAATCCATCTATCTGTTGCCTACAAGAAACACATCTTAAATTTTAAAGATTGGTACTGCCTTAGAGTAAAAGCATGGTCAAATGAGACAGGTGACAAGAAGCAGCTAGCATTGTTATCCTAATACATGACAAAATAGGCCTCAAACTAAAATTACTCAGAAGAGACAAAGGACACTTCATTCTAATCAAGGGGGAGATTTAACCAAGAAAACATATATGCACCAAACTCTGCTGCACCTAATTTCATTAAGAAAAAAAAGAAAGAAAGAAAAACTTGCTAGCGGACTTAAAGAGAGAGGTTAGCATTAACCTGTTAACTCTGTGTGAATTCAATACCCCAGTTTCTCCAATAGACAAGTCACCTGGACAAAAAAAATTAGAGAACCATGAGAATTAAATGGCATCAGACATTGCCGGGCGCCGGGCGGTGGTGGTGCACGCTTTAATCCCAGCGCTCGGGAGGCAGAGGCAGACGGATCTCTGTGAGTTCGAGGCCAGGCTGCACCGACAGCCTCAAAAACAATACAAAGAAACCCTGTCTCGTAAAAAACAAACAAACAAAAAAACCAAAAAAACAAAAAACAAACAAACAAAAAAAATGGCATCAGACATCAACTATATTTAATGGGTATCTATGGAATATTCTAGATAAACACCAAAGGACACATGTTCTCCTCAGTAGCACAAGGAAGGTTCTCTAAAACAGACCACATGCTGGGACCCAAAACACATCTTTACAAATTCAGAAGGATTAAAATAACACTGTGTATCCTATCTGATCACAATGCAATAAAACTTAAAACTGACAGCAGACATATCTGTAGTAAACACACAATCTCATGGAGATTAAAAAATACATGATTGAATGATGAATGGGTCAAAGAAGAAATCAAAAAAGAAGTCAAATTTTTTTCTGGAGCTACAGGAAAACAAAACGAAACATCTGGGATACATTGAAAGCAGTCTGTGAGGAAAAACCATAGCT